TTATTTCCAGAAGTCCAAGTGGTGAAAAGACTCTGTAATTGTAAACTAATACAACCTTCACAGAACCTATCAGAGTAACTTGTTGAATTACACTTGTTACATTCTTTCGGTTTTCCTTTTTTATATGTTGCACTATTTAATCCTAAGTCATAAATAAACTTTTCCTTACAATATTCTTTTTCATTTTCAGAAAGCTCCTTGTTTTTCTTGACTAATGAAAAAAATATCTTTTTCAATTTCTCTATCGGAATTAACATTAGCATTGTTGCGCATTTCACTCTCAATTTTATATACAAATTCCTCCCTTTCTGATGATAACGATGATAATAATTTAGAATGTGACATTATATAAAATATAAAATTTTGACTTCTCGTTTTAATGAATAACGTGTAACAAACAAATTTTTCGTGCAACATTTTTCCTATATAACATAAATTGAAAAGCGAAGATTGCATTATTTAAAGAACAACTTCATCATCACCAAAATTCTAGTGATCGATTTATTGTGATTTCAGCAATAAAAGAAATTCTTTAAAGATTTAAAAGTGACAAAAATAGAAAACCTGTCTTATGTGCTATGTAAAGGTCGTTCTAAGTGCCAATATTGACCAACCTATGTTGCTTCAAACTCAGATACTCAAGCACATTGTTAATATATTGCGTATTACTATTACACGTAGTTCTGTAGTTAACTTCAATTTACATTTTATGAAATGTAATAATAAAAAGAATTTTGAAAGAAAAAAATTAAAAAAAATTTCTAATTCAAATTATAACATTTGCAAACTTATAATTATTCTTGCATCATTGCACAATGAATGATATAATGATTCTTTATTCACTCTGGGACACACAATTTACATAATTTGGAACTTTTGATAATCCTATTTTATCATTATTGTTATTGCTGCTTGTATCAAGTGTTTTTAATTGTATCAAGCGCTTTTAATTACGTCAAGTGGTTTTACTTACGTCAAGGGCTTCAAATCGTCAAAATGACCCTGGTGAAAAACTACCTTTAGTCAATATTTTAATTACGTCAATGACTAAAGTCAAAAGTTTCGTCATACATCATTAGAGTCAATTCCAATGCTTCATGAGGTTTCAGCTGGAATATAGGTTAGATTCGCTGAAAAAACGCAAAGCATTATCTACACAGATCTTTGATACACTGTGGGTTATATAATATGTTTATTTTTTCCTTTAACTTCATTGTATAAGTCAAACCATAATATTATATTAATGTACTATTTCTTTTAGACATAGAATATGGGTTACGCCTAAGTATAAGTTATATAAAGAGACACCCATCAATGAGACCTCTTATATGTGTGAAGTATTGACGCCATTATTCAGCATAGCCATGAGCAGATTACCTGTAGAATGTATGGCCTGGAGTGTCTTTTCCATATTTTTCTAATTGTAAAGAGGAAATTCAAATTTGATACTCTATCTGCATAATCGATCAGATAATTAATATGTCGTGTGGCTGTGCAATGAAATTATGATTTATAACCAAATTTAATTACCTCATGGTCATACTGTGAAAAATTTTAGATCTCGATACGTGAACCGCCTGATCATTAAAACGCATGCATGATTTATAACCAAATTTGAAATTTGATTAATTACCTCATGGTCGTACATTTCTGTGAAAAATTTTTTTTACTTTTTTTTTATGTGTATTGTAACTATCCTCGTCAGCATTCCAATTATTCTTCTCGTGGTTTGGATCGCGGTCATTAATCTTACTATTGCTGGACTTGTGGTATGCAACAAGCAAAACTAACCCTTATCTTATTTGCGCAAGTAACTTAAGGTTACCTCATATACTATTTATTATAGTTCTTTCCCATTTCTGGTGTTTTTCTTTGGATTACAATCATCAACTATATTGGTTATCTTATCTTCACTAGTGTTCTGAAGGGTCTAGGTGAGTTTTGATAATCAAATTTGAGCAATATAAAATTATTATTACCATCTTTTTTTTTAAAAAATTTTTTTTCTAACTACTGGTATAGATATGTTGAAAGCCAATGGTAAGAAAATAGATTTTAATAATTTAAATCTCGATCGCTCATATACCCTTGAAGAATTTGAATTCATCAATGACCAACTCAAGACACGCATTCTAGAAATTGATGGACATCCAGTTAACCTTTTTGATCTCGACAAAAACGGCAAGCTTATCCCTATGCCACAATCACCTTACTCTAGAGAAAAAGTTGTTGCTGAAATCGTTAGACAACTTAGTAATTGGAATATCTGGACACGGCAAAATGGGGGCGTTACCTCATCACAGGGAGGATTTGATTTTGATGTTGGAGGTGGTAAAACAATCAGAGCGCCAGATATTGCTTATGCACCCAAAGAAATAGATTGTCAATTGGATGCACAACAGAATTGGAGTTTAAAGGTGATCCTTTCACCCCTATATTTGTTATCGAAGTCGGAAACATTTCAAGTCATTCAAAGTTTGAGGAACTTGATAGAAAATTCAAGGATGTATACTTTGCGGAGGGGACCTCTGTACAATTAGGGTGATTAATAGACCCAGAAAATAAAGAGATTCACATAGATAGAAGGGATCGACGCCGTATTAATCATGGATGGAAAGAAGTTGATAATGTGGATTTTTTACTAATGTTTACTTTAGTAATATGGAAAATAAAACATGTAATTTCACAGGTACGTTTTTATTATTTTTTTACTTTTTGACATATACAATCAATTTTATTATTCATATATTTACTGGGTTAATTACAGCGAGAATCGATATCACCTGAACCATCATCATTCTCTTGCAATTCATGTTCAGAAACCTTCACTGATCCATATGTTATGATTACACATGTTGAGGATAAGCATGCATACAAACGAAGACATTGATTAGCATTGCTTTATTCATAAATTCATTAGGCCACAGAATATGATGGATAGGAAATCCGAATTTAGATGATTTATTGAATAATCCGAATGTTATATTTATCAAACGAATTCTATTACCCATTTACTTGCTTATTTGGCTATTAATTGCTTGTTTACTTAAAAACACATATACGAATCAAAAAGATATTATAAAAATGATGATAATAATATTAACCTTGATATGAAAGAAAAAATATCTTATTTCATATTTTTTGTAATTATTTATTATAAATGTGCATTTTTAAAATAATAATATATATTATTTTATAATATATTAAATTAATAAAAATTTATTGATGAATACATGATTAATTGACTTTTATCTTTCTATTTTTAAAGCCTTGAAAGATGGTGGATGTCTTTGTAAATAAATATTCCAAGCACAATTTCAAGACTTCAATATGCCAAATTCAAATCTATAAATATTAAGAAAATTCTAAACCAATACAAATTAGCTCACTTGACACCAAAAAATTAATAAAACACTTTTTCAATTGCTCTATAATGACTGCACCCTGTTTCATGGTAATGATTCCCATGATCACGAATATTAGCATAATCTGCAAGACATCTAATAATAAATTATTATTATTAATTAAATCAGCCAATAGATCAATAATTAAATAAATCTCAATTATTATTACTATACTTACAACCAACAGAATTCATGTTTGCATTCAAGAACTTTACATGTCATATGATCACAACCCTCATTCTTTGAAATTCTTACTCCACATTTAGGACAAGGTTTGGTATGTTGTTCTAAATAGGTGTGAGTAGCCTCATTTCTAGCTTTCTCAACTTCGTCATACTGTTGGCAAGTTAATCCTTCATGCCATAATGAATCATGTGTAAAACAACTTTTAGTTCCACAATCACCACATGTTAATATTGGCTCAGAATCGCTTCCTATATG